CTTTTTCTTCCATTCTTGAGACACTTTGCTAAGGAGGACATTTTCCAGCTCCATCCATGTAAATATGAAGGAGGCAAGGTCTCCATCTTTCTTTGTGGCTGTATAGTATTCCATGGTGTACATATACCACAATTTATTGATCCATTCATGGGTCGATGGGCACTTGGGCTTTACCAGAGATTTTATTTCTTCATACAACTTTGAGTTACTGTCTAGCTTCCTTTCCTTTCAACCTAAAGGATTCTTTTTGCATTTCTTGTAGGGCGCGTCTTGTAATGAACTTCCTCAGGTTTTTTGGGTTCTTTTTTCTTTTTCTTTCCTTTTGCTTTTTGTCTAGAAATGTCTAAATTTATCTCTCATTTTTGAAAGAGAGTTTTGGTGGATATAAAATTGTTAGTTGACAGGACTTTTCCCCCTTAGCACTCAGAAAATATCAATCCACTGCTTATTGGTCTTCAACATTTCAAATGAAAATTCATATAATAATACAATTGAGAATACTACTCATGTGACAAGTTTAATAATATAATTGAGAATACTACTCATGTGACAAGTTCTTTCTCTTGTGCTACTTTAAGATTCTTTGTATTTGGCCTTTGACATTTGGAGTGTAATGTGTTTTGGCATGGATTTCTTTGTGTTTATCCTACTTAGAGTTTGTTAAGTTTCTTGGATTTATAGATTCACTTCTTGCATCAAATTTGGGAGGTCTCTGGCTGTTATTTTTCAAATAATTTTTCTTCCTCCTTCTCTGTCTCTTCTGCTCTTACGAGTTCCACAGGTGAATGTTCTTCCATTTGGTGGTGATGATGTTTCACAGACAAAGTAGGCTCCGTTCACTTTCTTTATCCTTTTTCTTTCTGTTTTTCAGACTGTTTTTCACTTGTTTTATCATCAAGTTCACTGATTCTTCTGCTTGCTCAAATATGCTTTTGAACCTCTCCAGTATACTTTTTTCATTTCAGTTATTATATTTTTAAGCTTCAAAATTTGGGGGGGGGAGTTATTTTAAATACTTTCTATTTACTTATATTCTTATTTTGTTCATGTATTTTTTCCCTGTATTTTTCTTGTCTTTCTTTAGCTCTTTGAGCATCTTTAAGATAGTCATTTTAAACTCTTTGTCTAGTAAGTCCAATATCTGGGTTTATTCAGGTGTATTTTCTGTTAATTTATTTTGTTCCTCTGAATGAACCATAGCGTGCTTCTTTGTGATTTTTTTTTTTTTTTTTGGTTGAAAACTGCTGGTTCTTATTTGTTAATTCTGAAAATCAGGTTTGCCTCCTTCCCCAGGATTTTCTGGTTTTTGATCACTAAATAGTGACTCTGTGTCAGGAGTCAACCTGAATTGGAAGCTTAATGCACTCTAGGTTTTTTTGTTTTTCTTTTCCTGAGATTGTGTTTTTCTCTGGTCATGCATGGTGGCTTTTGAAATTCCCCTGTATACATGTTCCTCTGCCCCCAAACGTCCAACAAAACAGATTATCTCCTTTAAACCTCCTGGAAGCCATGTCATCTGGTGGGAATTGGAACAATGGAAGCCACATCCAAGTCCTCATCTCAGTGAACAGAGCAACAATCCACAATCAAAACACAAAATTGCAATATCTGGGGGATAAGATATTTATTGCCCACCCTTGCTCTAGAAAAATGCTACAGAAATATACACTGCTGTCCCCACAATTTCTTACCATGGGACTAGAGGAAGGGTGAGGGCTGGGTAGCCCTCACTGATGGCTCAATGACCTAAATTAACTGCAGTTGACCAGAGAGGGTATCTCTCAGAGTTTGCAAATATTCAGATAAACTCAAGAGTTCCAAAATATTCATTTCAGTATTTGCCAGTAAAATTGCTTTTCAGCTGGAGAGACAAATTCATGGTGTTTCCTATCCACCATATTTTCTCTCACTGCTATAAATTTTCTGACATCTTGCCAATAAATTGATATTTCAGACTTACTCCGGGATGGCTTTGGGACCAATCCCCTTTTCTATTGCCTGATTGCCGAAGTATACAATAAAAGAAAACTATCAGGTAAAGTAGATATTTCATCTTCAATTTAATCTGGAGCATATTTTCTCTACATTTAAAATATTTATATAGCATACAATTACTATTAAGCAAAGCATAAGAATATATGTGTAAAAACTCAGTTTTATTTTTCTAAACATAAAATGTAAGGTATGTACTTAGGTTTATATATGCATTAAAAATTTGGGCAAAAATATATACCATACTATAAAAAAAGAGCTTATCTATTAAAAGTTATAAGGAAATTAAACCTGCAAGATTAGATATTTCTATATTATTACTTCTATATTATTAAGAGCACTTATTACTTTACTAGTTAAAACAAAGAAACACCAAAGATATTCCATTTGGGGGAACAGAAGTATGATTCAAAGCTTTAAACTCTCTGTATCTTCTCTTTTCTCTTCTTTGGCAAAGTGACTGTTGGATTTGCCATGTACTACTTTACATACGACCCCTGGATTGGCAAGTTACTTTACCTAGAGGACTTTTATGTCATAGAAGCTTACCGAGGTAAAACTAAAATTCTTATCTAGAAATACTTTAGAAATGAAAATGACATGCATACGTTAAAGAGATAGGGCTTTATTATAAATATGGTATTTAAGGGCGGTCCCTGTGGCTTAGTGAGTAGGGCACCAGCCCCATATACCGAGGGTGGCGGGGTCAAACCTGGCCCTGGCCAAACTATAACAAAAAAAAAAAAAATAGCTGGGTGTTGTGGCAGGGGCCCGTATGCCCAGCTACTTTGGAGATTGAGGGGAGAGAATTGCCTAAGCCCAGGAGTTGGAGGTTGCTGTGAGCTGTGTGATGCCACGGAACTCTACTGACGGTGATAAAGTGAGACTGTCTCTAAAAAAATAAATAAATAAAAATAAAAATAATATGGTATTTAACTTTGTTTAGGTTATTCATTTCTATTTCATGAGCCTGTTAACAATCTTAGTTATTCTTGCATGTAGTGAGAAATCAAACATAGACTAGAAAAACATTATTTTTATTAGTTTCCTTAAAGGTTTAACTAAGCCACACCTATATTCTATCTTTATAAAATTGTTTTACATTCTAGGTTGATTTTGCATAGAAAAAGATAAGAAATATACTCTGTTATAATACAATAGTGACAGAGACTAATTTGTTCCACAATGATATTTAAACTAAACCAAGAGTCTTTTCTATTATCTTTGGTACCACATTCCAATTAGGAAGAAAGATTTATGAGTTGTGTTTCCTCAAGCTATTAAGAATATATAACAATCAAGTACAGGCCTTTATATCTTATTTCTTTTAAACTACAGCAAATGACCAGTTAAGTGGAATTTGTGCTTTTCATTTTGCATTATCTATTAAGGTCTAGGTATTGGAGCTGAAATGCTGAAGAGGCTAAGTCAGGTATGTACTACAATTCATAGTGATATTTGATACATGAACTTTTCTTCATCAAAAATGTTTTAACAGGGCATAAATTAAAAAGTTAATCTCATAATTTGAACATAACTCCAACATATACTTTAAATTTTTATTAAAATTCAACTGGATTTCCAAATCAGATATTCATACAAATAATATATGAGTTATAGCTAATTAAAAATTGGTTTATATATAATCCACAACCCTATTATATACCTTTTTTGCTATCAAGTAGGAGCATGATGAAGATTAGAAGGCACTTTTATCCATAAAATAGGCAGACATTGTAAATATGAAAAGAGTATTAAAAAAGATTCTTTTGCATTTTAGAAATATATGAGAACATATATTACTTAGGCAAACTTTTTCTATAAAGAATTTTTACAATAGACTTGGGATTTTATTTATTTATTTGTTTTTGTTTAGCAGGTCCAGGCTGGGTTTGAACCCACCAGCCCCAGTCAATGGAGCCAATATTCTAACCATTTAGCTACAGGCACCCAACTCAATTTGGGATTTTAAAGAGAGAGGTTTTAAAGCTCATAATAGTAGGACTTTTTCTCTTTTTACAGCTATAGAGAACTCCAGGAGATAATTACTATATTATTATTTTGGAAGTATTATGCACATATAGTGCCTTGTATATAGTAGACCTTCAATAAAATAAATGCATTATTGAAGACTATACGTTCAAATAAAATAATCTTTGCTTGTTTGTTTTTAAACAGATAGCCATCAGAAGCCAATGTAACTGCATGCACTTTCTTGTTGTCATTTGGAACCAGGCTTCTATTGACTACTATACTCGTCGAGGGGCTTTAGACCTTTCCTCTGAAGAGGGCTGGCATCTGTTCAGGTTTAACAGAGAAGAACTCATGGACATGGCAAGGGAAGAATGAAAGAGGCTTCATAACAACCCTTCCCAACCTAGCCTCCAACACTTCAATGTCATCTGTGTCTAACAGCAGTTTGACTTTGAATGTTGTACAATACAGCAAGTGATCACTACATTGTTGTGTGAGCAGATCTTTTACTTTGAAACAGATTTTGCAGATCCAGTCAGCTCTCTAATGTCCAAAATAATATACTAATGGCTAGTAGCAGTACTGATAATCCCCAAATACCTCATATTTGGCTTTGGGTTATTTAATTTTTACCTTGTTTCATCAAATTTAAGATGCTTATTTTTTCACATTTTAACATATCTGCAACTGGGATAACTATAAGGATCAACTGGAAATATATTTTTTTCTTAAAGATGTATGATGTATCTTAAATTTGATAAAATATGGGTGTATTTGAATATAAACAGATCTGAGGTTTAAAAAAACTTAATTTCAAATACTGGAGTTAAATTCTGAAGAGCTTACTTATAAAGAACTAACAAGTAAACTGCTTGCCTACCTTAAGCAGAACTATATTCGATCTCTGAATATCTGTATCTTTTTCGTTGTACTCACTTAGGATAGACACCACATACACGCTGTATTTGTTTATGTTTCACTCCTTACTAGTAGAATATAAGTCCTTTGATGGAATTATTAATATAACTATTTTTGTATCTTGTGCTGCAACCAGCAAGCACAACATGTGAATTCCTATCATGTACTAGGCATTTCATGGGCACAGAAGCTATACAAAGATGATAAAACCCTTCCCACCAGGAACCCTGTCAGTGAGAAAATATTAATCATCAAAACGTATATGAACTACCATATCTATAAACACTAAATACAAGAGAATATAGAGGAGTAAATATTCAAATTCTACCTTGGAGAACTGAGACAGGTGACACTGGAATTGGATTAGAAAGATGGGTGGGAAGTTCAAATGTGGTGCAGAAAAAAAAATGGTAGAGCAAAATAATGCAGAAGAGCATTCTAAAAGGAGACACTAGCATAGGAGAGAAAAAGGCAATAAACAACAAAGCCTGTTGGAGAAACAAGTGGTATGTCATACCTACAACATACATTGGCAGTAAGGTGGGTGGGAGAGGCAAGATAGAATTAGAAGGTAAGCTGGGATCAGATATACATGGCTTTGTATGTCAAACTAAGGAATTTTCATTTGATTCTGTAGGTAATGATGAGCCATTAGAGATGTTAGAAAGGCTACTATTCATAATAGTTATCAGAAATACAACCATGCCATAATAATATGACAAACGATTTAGAAGAATGGTATAGGGGACACAATGTTAGCTTAAACTCAAAACTTATTCCCAACTTCCTACTCCTTGCATTCCTCACTACTGGAAAAGAAAAACATGATTTCTCTATCTTCCTTGAACTAAGTGTATGGCAATGTGACAAGTTTTTGGGGAGATATACAAAGAAGTCTTCTGAGGAGATTTTAAGGTAGCATTATACCTTTCTGATAAAAGGGGTTTACAAACGTCTTCTGTACATTTCTTTTTCTGCCTCATTCCTACTTTACATATGTATGTACTCTCTGGAGGTACAGCAGTCATTTTTTGATGAAGTGACAAACCAGTATGCAAAAGAGAACAAAGTGGAAAGTGAGAAAGTCTAGGTCATTGATGGCACAAATGAGCCACTGTCCCAACTCTGTACTGCCTAACTCCAGGCTTTAAATATATACTTATTTTTTAAAGTGTTGACTAGTTTACTGTTACTTGCAAGCAGAACACATTCTAAAATGAGAGAGAGCATGATTGGTGGTAAACAGATTAGCCAAGTGACTACTACAGTAACCCAGGAAAGTGATGATGAAGACTTGAACAAGAGTAATAAATAGGATTAAAGAAAGAAGAATACATTTGAGAAATAAGGAGTAGGGAATAGACAAAATTTTGTTTTAGGCATATTGATGTTGGGATATTATGGGATAGTATATAACTAATAGATAACTAGAAATATGGGTCTAAACACTAGAAAAATATGGGAGCTGGAAATACAAATAATGACATATAAATGGTGGCTGAAGTCAGTGAAGTCTGTTAAATGAAAAGAGCATGAAGAATGAGGAAAGAGAACTAGGGATGCAACGTCCTTTAAAGGATTCAAAGCAAGAGAAGGAGGATGAAGAATATTAAGAGAAGCAGGAGTGACAAAAAGAAAGGGGGAAAGTGAGTTTCGAGGAGGGAGTGGTGAAGAGTTAATATAGAGGCCAGGATGTCATAAATTAGGAGTTGAAATTACAGAAGAAAGGGACAATAATTACTTTTGAAAGAGATATGGCAATTATAGGAAGGAGAGATAAAAGACAGCTTGAGGGGAAGAAGCACTTATGGAAAGGTTTTGACCTTGTTTTTTACTCTTGCTTTAGGATAGAGAAGACCTGCAGCTATTTAGAGATTGAGGGAAAGAAAATAGTGAGAGAAAAAACCAAAGACTGAAGATTAAACAGGATGGAATATGATTCTGGAAAACATGGGAAGGAATGAGATTGGGCACACAAAGTAGCATTTGCCTTAGAAAAAGGAGATGCATGGCTTAATAGAGTTAGGTCTTGAAGGTAGAGGAGAAGAAGTTGGGGATGGTCACTTCTCATAATTTACTTTTTTTCTGGCTTGGCATGGTGGTTCACAACTATAATTCTAGCACTCTGGGAGGCTGAGGCAAGGGGATCACTTGATCCCAGGAATTCAAGACCAGCCTGAGCTAAAGTGAGATCTCATCTCTACTAAAAATGAAAAACTAGCTGGGTGTTATGGCCTGTAGTCCCAGCTACTTGGGAGGCTGAGGCAAGAGGGATTGCTTGAGTCCAATAGTTTGAGGGTGCTGTGAGCTATGATGCCATAGCACTCTAGCCGGGGCAACAGATTGAGACTCTGTCTTAAAAAAAATGTATTTTTTCTCCATGAAATAGGAGGCATATTCAACTTTAGCAGGCATAGGATATTTGAAGAGAATAAAAAAGCTTGTAATACCTTTTCTAGGGAAAAGAAAGAATAAACCACCTGAGAATCAATGAAGGCTTGCCAAGAAATATTTGGGGACCCATTTAGCATATGACCTTTTTAAATAGCTGGAGACGTTTTTAGGCATTTAAGAGGAGTTAACACATTAATAAAACAAAGAAACAAATCCAAGCCCAGTGCCACATAATATGGGTATTTTATTCCAGCTCCATCAAATGAACAAAAAGTGGGGAACACATCCTGCCACATGCCATTCTAATTTAACTGACATTAATTCAGAAAAGCTGTAGCAGATATATATGTGTATACATATAAGCATGTATATATGTGTATTCACACACATGTGTTTCAGATTTTAGTCTCATTAGTTATCTTCGTGTTTTTTTTTAATAAACTCCCTTAAAAGTCATCACATGCAACCTAATACTTTTACCTGTGTCTCCCAATCAATCATTTAATATGATTTGGATTTCATTCAGTGTGTTTTAATCATCTATGTGGTTCATCAAATAGTACATTTGAAGATGTATGGGAAAAACTTGATTTAAGTTATACTCTATGTGTCCCATTACCCATTACATGAATTTTTTAATCATTATTTGCAACTTCACACCTCTTGTGGTTTCTATGCAGTCTGTGCAGTCTTCTTCAGCTTCTAGTGCTATACATATCTGTATCTTCTGGGTGGGACTGCCCATGATCCATGAGCTTGGGGTCAGGCATAAACTGTGTAGTACCTGATGAAGTATTAAAATAAAAAAAATAGTCATTAAAAATTATTGTTTGTATTTTAGAAGGTAGCACTGAACAAATCAGATAAAAAATCTCTGCCAAAATGGACCCTACATATGAGTTAGGCAACAAGAACAACAAAACTAAGTAAAATATAATATCAGATGGTGGTAAGTACTATGCAGAAAAATATAATGGAGAGAGGTATATAGAATGCTTGGGTGATTTGCAGTTTCAAATAGGGCAGTCAGGGAAAGCTTTCTGGAAAGGTGATATTTGAGTAAATAACTAAAGGATGTAAGGATGTGTGCCTTATAAATTTCAGTAGGCAATGTATTCTAGGATGAACATATGGCAAGTGTAATGGACATGAGGCATGTCTGAGAAATCAATATGGCTGGAACAGAGTAAACAAGATGTGGTATATGGGATTGGTAGAGGCAGTAAGAGCATGATAGGAGATGTGATCAGAAAGACAGTGGAAGGCTAGGTTACAAAGGACCATGGTAAAGATTCCAGATATTAAGTGTTATGAGAAGGTACTGGACCATTTTGAGTAGAGAAGTAACATGATGATATGCTTTTAAAAAGATCACTCTTAGGTATGGGGAGAAGAAACTATAGGGGAATAATGGTACAAACAGGGAGACCAGTTACTCATTACAGTACTCCAGAAATGATTCTGAGGGATTTAACCAGGGCAGTAACAATTAAAATGGCAAAAAAGGATCAGATTCTGGATAATTCTAAATGTAGCATGGGCATGATTTCCTAAATGGATTGACTATGTTGGTTTTTTTGGCTGGGGCTGGGTTTCAACCGGCTACCTTAGGCATATGGGACTGGTACCCTACCCTTTTGAGCCACAGGTGCAGTCCAGATTGACTATGTCATGTGAGAGAGACTCTTTAACCTGGGAATCTGGAAGAATGGAATTATTATTTACTGAGATAGGGAAAATTGCTAGAGAAGCAGGTTTTGGGGGGAAGCATATAAATTTAGGGTATGTAGAATTTGAATTGCTTACTAAATATGTGAGTACAAATTTTAAATAAGCAGCCTTAGAGTTTAGAGGAGGCTTGGGTTCATTTATAAATTTTATAGTCCTAAACTACTTATGGCAATTAAAACTATGGGATTATATAAAATCATCTAGAGTCATAGAATAGGTCCTAGGAAGGAGCCCCTTGGATTAATAAGATTAGGAGAGGTGAAGGTTAGAAGAATGTAGCAGAGAAGATAGAGAAGGAAAGCCAGTGTGTGAATAGGAGAACTAAGAACAAATATCCCACAGGCCAAGTTAACGGATTGTTTCAAGGAAGAGGGAGTTTAACCTGTACTAAAAGTTACTAATGGACTGCATACAAAGGAGATTGAGAATTGATTCCTGGATTTGGCAATGTGTAGATCAGTTGTGATCCTGACATGCTTACTGTGTGCCAAGCAAGATGTTATTTTCATGCATTATCTCCTAATACTACCATGAGGTAGATGCTAGTTTTTGTATTATCCTTGTTTTAGAGATAAGGACATTTAAATTTAGAGAGATTAAGTAACTTGACCAATGTCATTCAGCTAATAATAAATGGTAGAATCAGGACTGAATCTAGGTTTGTCCAAAACCAGCACAACAAATATTGAAACCCCCAAATACTATATAATCAACACTGAGTGATGTATTACTATGAACTAAATATTTGTGTCCCACATAAATTCACATGCTGAGACCCTACCCCACAATGTGATGGTATAAGGAGGAAGGGCCTTTGGGAGGTAATTAGGACTAGTGAAGTGATTGAGGGTAGAGCCCTCAAGAATGGGATTAATGCCCTTATGAGAGTCCTGAGAGAGCTTGCTTTCCTCCGTTCTCCACTATGTGATGCAATAAGAAGTAGGTTGTCTACAAGTCAGAAGAGTACCCTCACCAGAACTTGACTATGCTGCCACCCTAATCTCAGACTGTTAGCATCTATAACAGTGAAAAATAAATTCCTGTTGTTTATAAGTCACCCAGTTTATGGTGATTTCTTTTTTTTAAATAGCAGCCTGAATATGATAAAAAAAGAATTGGCATCTCTTTCTACCTCTGCATGTATCCTTAGAATGCTTTTTCTATACCTCTTCACCTAGGACAAGCAGAAAAAGGGCTCCAAAATCTAGAAGTGTGAAGAAAAATGCATTAACTAAGGATGGTTTGGGCCCCACTATTACCATTTAGTATGTTACATCTTCACAAAGATACTCTGGAATTGGCAGGCATATGGAAAAATAAACAGATACATTATACTCTTGTGAGAATATGGTTAAGTCTGAGCTATTTAGAGACAGTCTAAAAATTATATAACTCATCTTGATTAGAAAGAAGTGGTAACAGAGGAAAATAGTAAAACCTAAATCAGACTTATTATTCAATAACAGTTTCTGTAAAAATTAAGTGAGAAAGGAAGAGGCTTAAATTAAAACTAAATACTGGTTTTAAATTAAATAATCTACAGTGAAATAAACACAGTGAAAACCAGTTAGATTCAATGTCAGGAATATCTAGGCTATATGCATAGCTCTGCTAACTCACAAGCTATATGATTTGGGGCAAGATATATAAGCCCTCTGAGTCTGAGTCTATTTATAAACTGTGAATAAATAGCAGAGTTTTTGTTTTGTTTTGCCTTGTGGGTGAGAAATCAATAACATAATACACTTATTGCTCTTTGCATCATAGCACATACTCAGTAAGTAGTAAACATTACTATCCCTTAATTATTATTCCCCAGCCTTAGAGTTTGTCATATTTTCTCTGCAATAAAATAATTTAATTGGTTGTACCATTCACATTGTATAGGTAGATAATTATGCAAATAAGTGACTAGTGAGTATTTGTGAATACACTGTACCTATATAAGTGATAACAAGGTAATAGTGTGAAATGTTATCTTTTTCTGATCACAGTAAAACCACAAAAAAAAAATCTTGTTACCATTTTTGGATTATAATAAAGCCATGATAATATCTGCTTAGAAAGTATAATTGTTGCTATTTGGTCCCACAAAGTAGTAACTTCCAGTGTTGAATATTAGCAAATTTCTAAATATTATAATTGGTGCAACTTATACCATTTGATGCTGAAAGTTCTCTTGGTACCTAAACTAAATAAAACTATTGATAGCAGAAACAGACTGACAAGGAAACAAGAAATGGAAGCTAATATTTCTTTCTGTAGGGGTGACTCATACCTACCTGTAAACTGATAGAATCCAGAAAAACACATTTCCTCCCACATGAGGAAATAGCTCACATTTATAAAGTGATACTAAATTCTTTGATCAACTTGTCAGTGCTACACTATACACCCACATACAAAGATATGTCTTATGAAATATGTGGCAATGAAAACAAACCCTAGGTACCTAAGTACCTTATAACCTAAACAGAAATAGAAACACAGTACATTTATAAACAAAAATAAATAAATGAATTTTGAATAAATGAATTCAAAGTACTAATAAAATGCTATCAGATTATTTAAGAATTAAAACAAAATTAATCCAAACAGACCTGAGGTGGATTCTGATTTGATCTTTGTTTTGGAGCTGAGTTCTGACGGCAAAGTTACTGAGTATTTCACAATGTGAGTTGTTTTTGCAGGTATTTCTATTGCAGCAGAGCTTCCCACCTGTTTACCAAAAAGATTTTTCCTTCATAAGTAAGTCATTCTACTGTAAGAACAAAATAGCCTAAAGAATTATACCACATTCTTTCATCTACTTTATTCTATTCTTGACTTCTGTCCAGTACCTCCATTATAAGTTAAAACCTACACAAATAAAACTTAATATCTACCTTTTTGGTCCATTTAAACTCTACCTTAGTTTTTTCTTTACGTTCAGGAAGTGACTCTTTTTTGTTGCTTTCTGTCCACAATGATTTAACTGCTTCATAAATTTGATGGCTTGTAGCATATGCCCTTATCCCAATTACCTAGTTAAAACAAAAAGTGAATTAAAAAATATACATACATACATATATATATACACATATATAAAAAGTTAAATTTTAAAAAGTTTTTGTCAGCTATTTTATATGAACACTTAAGTCAGATTCAATAGATATAAATCTTCAGATTACATAACACAAAGTAACATTTCCCAAATCTTTCATGTCAAATTATTTGCTTTGTATAAAAGACTAAAAAAAATGTAAAATCTGCATTCAAAATGTAACATGTACATATAAAACTATTTATTTTACTATTGTTTAGGTTATGATTTCATCTTTATGACAACCTGAAATTGTAAAAAAGAAAAAAGCATTACCAAAACACTATTTTCTTCCTTAAACAGAATTTTTTTGTTTTTACTAATTATATACGTACGTTTTAAAAACTTAAGCAATATATTAGTATAAAAAAAGTCCTCTTCTTCTCCAAATATAGCTTTTGTTAACAGTTATGAAATAATCTTCTAGAATTTTTACTCTTATATTCTTTATGGGTATGAGTGTGTGTAGGTCACTATGCATGCTTTGAGAGAAACTGTGTTATTGTCCATTATTTCACTTCCAAGAAACAGAGCTAACAGCATCCTTTCTGATTTTCCCATACATCAACTTGCTTGCCTTATTAGTGTTACTGGGAGGACTTCAGTAGTTTCTGTCTGTGTAGATTTTACATTTCTTAATTTTTGTGTATCTTAAAACTTTCTTAATGACTCACACATTATATATACAAACACACACCTTTATAAAACAAAACGAATGTTAACGTTCATAGAACTTTCAGAAAAGATGCAGTAGATGTATATATATTGACATGGATGAAAGCCTGATCACTAAATTAAAAAAAAAAAGTTACAGAATAGATTACACACTATAATTTCAGCTGCGTTTTAAATTTTAAAATAAATTATGTACATATATACTGATTTCCTTTTGAAATACAAATGAAATCACACTACACATATTACTATGAGATGTGATGTTACATTACTTTATATACCATTAGATCTAATTTTTAAAATAGCCACACACTTTAGTATTATGGATGCACCATAGATCATGTGACAGATATGGGCACAATGATTTAACAAATCCCTTCTTGGTTAGCATATGGGGGCTTCTCCTTTTTTTGTTGGGAGAGGGGCAATTAAAAGCAATGCTTAAATTAGCATCCTCATATATAGATCTGGGACACAATACTCTTATATTAAGGACAAATTTGTAGAGTGCAAATTATGGGACTAAAGAGTATACTCATTTTCATCTTTGATAATATCACTACATTGGCTGCCAGAAGTCAGGAAGACACTGTAGCAATTTACACTTCCACCAAGAACATATGTGTTTTCCTACCCTATCTAGCAGTGGTGGTATTATGAATATTTAAATCTACATAAAATTGAAAACTTAAATACCAATATCTAAATAATCTTTTAAATTTACATTTATGTGATTATTGACAAACTTGAGTATCTTTCTTATATTAGCCCATTATGTTTCTTATTTTATAGATTGCTTGTTCATGTACTTTATTCATTTTCCTAGAGGGCATCCACTTTTTTCTCATAGAAGCTTTTAATAATGAAGTGTATCAATCCTTTGTAATATATGGTACAATTTTCCCTTTTTTCCAGTTTTGATCTATCCATTAACTTTGTGTACAGTATACTGTGAGTACAGATATTTATTTTGATGTAGTCAAATATGTAGATTTTTTTGAAGGCTTCTAGATTTCATTTTGCTTAGGACAGCCTTTCCCATTTCAAGATGAAACAAATATTCTCCTTTTTTCTCATGCTTTTTATAGTATGTTATTTTATCGTTACATCTATATTCCACCTAGAATTAATTCTTACATAGTAGTTGGCAAATGTCCAAATATTTTTCTGAACAGCCTATTATCCCAATACATTTTTGAACAATCCATACTTTCTTTACACAGTCATCTGAAACACCACTTTTACCATATACCAACCCCTTACCCTATGTAAACAGTATATGCTTCATATAATTGTTTTGTACATTCTCTTGATCTATCTTATTGCCTATGCTATAGTTACCAACATATAGTAGATATACAATAAATACTGGCTGAGAAAAATCAAACTTTACAATTCTAGGATTTTTGTAAGAATTGAGTTAAATTTCTAGTTTTTGGAATACCTGCCATATTTCAATATTTAATCTTTTTATCCATAAAGAGGATATATCTCTGAAAATATTCAAGGTATTTTTAAAAATATCTTTCAGATAAAAGTGAGATCATATATTATTTGTTTTTTTGTGTGTCTGGGATAATTCATTAAGCATGATGTCCTCCAGGTTCCATGTTGTTGCAAATGGAAAGATTTCCTTCTTTTTCATTGCTCAGATGCTAATTTCATTTCCTTTAGTTAAATTCCCAGAATAGAAGCAGAAAATAGAATGGTGGGTTACCAGAGGATGGGGTAGTGTAAATGTAAATACAGATCTGTTGGTCAAAGGGTACAAACTTACAGTTATAAGATGAATAATGTATACCACAGGTGGTAAAGGATATGCTAAGTGATTTATATTAATCATTTCACAATGCATATGTATACTAAATCATTATGTTGTATAGCTGAATATGTATAATCTTTGTCAATCAAATATTTAAAGGTTAATAGTTTTTATATTATTATTTAAGATTAATATGAGGGTACACATGATTAGAGTACATCATTTGAATTTTTAGGAGAAGTCCAAGTTGTACTTGAGTCCTTCACCCAGGGACTGTGCCATATACCTCTACATTGTACTCGTTAGGTGGAGGCCTACTGAGTCCCTTCCCACCTTCCCCCTGCTTGAATTTAATTGTGGTTTTCCTCCTGTTTGAGCCCGTAGTTGTTCATCTTCTAGTTTCAAATTAGTATTGAGTATATGGGATGCTTGTTTTTCCATTCCTGAGATACTTTAGTAGAGAATATACTTCAACTTCATCCAGATAAATATAAAAGATATAAAGTTTCCATCATTTTTATAGCTGAATAGTATTCCATGGTATACATACCAAAGTTTATTAACCCATTCACAGCTTGATAGGTACTAGGGTTTTTTCTACATCTTTGTGATTGTGAATTGAGTGCAAATTCAATTGAGTCATTGGGGTAAAATGATTTTTTTTTTCTAGGTAGATACCTAGTAATAGGATTTCAGGATCAAACAGAAGGTCTACTGTTACCTCTTTGAGGATTCTCCATACATATTTCCAGAAAGACTGTATAAGTTTGTCATCTTGCTAATAGTAAATAAATGTTCCCTTCTCTCTGCATCCTTGCCAACATCTACAGCTTTGGGACATTGTGATGTAAGCTATTCACACTCGTGCTAGTTGATATCTCAAGGTGGTTTTGATTTATATTTTTCTGATGCTTAGGAACGATGAGCATTTTTACATGTATTTGTTGCCCATCCTTCAAGATTCTGTTCTGCATATATGATTGATCTCTACATACCTAAATTAAATGGATTGTTTATTCTTTTCTTGCTTGAGTTCTTTGTAGATTCTGGTTATTAGCCCCTTGTCAGATTAGTAACATGTGAATATCCTCTCCCATTCTGATAGTTGTCTATTTTCTTTTTTTATTATGGACTTAGCTGTGCGGGAAGATTTGAAGCTTGATCAGGTCATATCTGTTTATATTTGATGCTACTGCAATTGCCAATGGGCTCTTCTTCATAAAATCTACCCCCAGGTCCATACTGTCAAAGAGTTTTTCTCATGTCTTCTTTTAGAGTTTTTATGATTTCATGTCTTAGAGTTAAATCTTTTATCCAGCATGAGTCAATTTTTGTAAGTGGTGAGAGGTGCAGTTCTTGTTTCATTCTTTTCCATGTGGCTAAACATTTCTCCCAGTTCCATTTATTAAATAAGGATTTTTATCCCCATTGTACATTTACTTTTCTGTTTGGTTTATAGAATATCAAATGACAACATGAGACTGCCTTATCTCTATGTTTTCTATCCTGTCTCATAGATGTAACTCTGTATTTTTATGCCAATACCATGCTATCAGATCACTATTCACTTCTAGTAGAATCTAACATCTGGTTACAAAATACCCCAGATTTGTTTTAAAGTTTAGAATGGCATTCAGGGTTTCTTCTGGATCCACAGGAAATTAAGATCTGTTTTTTTCCAAGTTCTTCAAAATATGAAGTTAATGTTTTAATTGGGATCATATTAAATCTGTAAATGGCTTTGGCTAGTATAGGCATTTCAACATTGTTGATATTTCCCAGCCATGAGCATAGTATGTTCTTCCAGTTGCTAATGATTTTAGGTATTTCTGTTCTCTCTGTAGAGATTTTTTTTTTTTTTT